GGGGGGGGGGGGGGCTAAAATGTGTAAACGTGCTTTAGAAATGAATTCAGAAATATTAACAATTAAAATACAAAACAGTCCCATTAAACAAGCTTTACTTCACTGGTTTCTTATGAATAAGTTAATTGTCTCATAGAACTTTAACAGATATGTTTATTTGTCATTTTCATAATATTTTACCGGGTGGATTGTGATATTTAAGTTGACACACTTTCATATTTTGGTTAGACGATGTCCAAATGTTATATGATGAACCTCCCAAAATAATCATGAAAAATGACACTCAAGTAATGGATTTAGAGTATTTATGAAAGGATAATATGTACATGCATCTTATGTGTTACAGCAGGCATGCACAACCTGTCCTTAACCCTGTTGTTGACTTCAATTATTTAAGAGAAGAAATTTGAAATTGAGTTTCTGGTTTTATTCCAATGTTCATAGATTTCCTCAAAGATGGTTCCATGGTTCTGTTAACTTGTTTTATTCTACATTTACAACATAGTAATTTTATCCGCAGTGTGAATTTTCTTGAATTTCAGAAATCTGTAGATACTATCAGAACAATGGGTGACGAATACGAACAGAAGATCCGTGATCTCCAGAGGTTTTATGTCGACTTCTTGGACGACAGCGACGACCAGGGAATATACAGTAAACTGGTCAGGTACGTTTAAAGGCCCATCTAGAGGGAAAGTATCGAATTTTGTTTAAGTTATTTTACGCTTAATTATAAGTGACCCTCCATGTAATGATGTCAATGCCCAATTAACAACGGTATCCTTAAAACCTTTATCTGATTAATATTGTGAAAAATATTGTTGTATTTCTAGGTTTGAAAGCGTTAAATTTTAATAATTCCTGCATAGTTTAATGCAGCAAAAATACTCTGGACATTTGCAGAGAAACTAAATAAAAAATAATCAGTTTTCATAATTATAAACATTGATATCTAATTCATTGTTTATCAGACAAAGCTTTAGAGAAACCATCGTAAATTGTCAAATTTACATAAAGGGGTCACTTGAAATTACGCTTACAGTTGTTTGAAAAAGAGGTATTCTGACATACTAAGAAACAAGCGGTATGGGGACAATAATTAGCTTGTTTATAAGATAAAAAGACCAACTTAAACGGATTGTTGGCTTGCTCATTTATACAGATATACCTCAAGCTTTAAGATCTACACAGAAATCTATTTTTTTCCTAAACGTGCCAAACTTTTCTGCACGTACCATCGGTTTTGAATTAATCTGTTTCAACCTAACCTTTTAATTTTGAAATTTGAAATTAATTTCTTATCCTAGGGATATGGTAGAGAGCAAAGGAACGCGACTGATTGTCAGTATCAATGATCTCCGACGCGCGAACCCTGAGCGCGCCAAGGGTCTCATGAACAATAGTTTTGAAGAGGTAGCAGCTTTTCAAAGGTGAGACCTTGCACAAAAAAGAGTTTGTTTTANTAAAATTTGATTTTCAATTTTTAGTTTTTCATGATTTTTTATTTCAGAGCATTGAAGGAGTTTGTCGGTAGCATTGATTCAATTTATGCAAGAGAGAAAGAGGACTTTTTTGTTGGATTTGAGGGATCCTTTGGATCCAAGCACGTGACTGCGCGCACACTCAACGCTCGTCTACTCGGGAGCCTCGTCTGCCTCGAGGGGATTGTTACCAAGTGCTCTCAGGTATTGATCCCTTTCTCCCATTTATTCTTCACACGGAAAAAAATTCTGACATTATCAAATAGAGAATTAGTTGTTATTAATTGATATTATTCCACAAAATTTGATGGAAATTTCTATCTTGTTTAATCATGTTTGTGAGAGGGTTTTTGTTAAGGTTAAACCGAAGGTTGTTAAATCTGTTCACTACTGCCCTGCAACGGAAAAGACGATTGAAAGAACGTACACAGATCTGACTTCTCTGGATGCGTACCCCAGCACTGCAGCTTATCCTACCCAGGTATTATATCGAACGATTTTTTCAAGGGGTATGATGAATATACCCCCTCCCCCCCATCCCGGTCAGGGGATGATGATTTCCCCTTCCCTTGTTTTTCTATGGTAGGTTTCTTTTTCGGTTTTCTTGTTTTACCCTTACTAGTGGACTCCAAATTTTTTTCAGTGTATGGGGGGAGTATATACTGAAAAACACAGGGGGTTTATATATTCTTGACAAATCACTCATCCTCTCTTTTTTTAAAATCATTTTTCCCTCCCACTATAAAGGTTTTTTGGTGCAACATTTTTTCCCCCGAGTTGCGGAAAATAAATGATTTTTAGGTGAAAATAATTACATTTTTGGATAAAAAGTATGAAAAAGGATGATAAAACTTGGCTGGGTAATTAAGAAAATATTCTCTGATTAAATAAGAAAAGTATTTCATCGTTAAGTTGGACAGTTGACACTTATACCGTTGAAATAAATCAATACATCATCAATTCCAGGATGAGGACGGAAACCCTCTTCAGACTGAGTTCGGAGATTGTAAGTTCAAGGACCATCAGACCCTGACCCTACAGGAGATGCCGGAGAAGGCCCCGACCGGTCAGCTCCCGAGGAATTGTGACGTCATCCTGGACAACGATATGGTTGACGCAGCTAAACCCGGAGATAGGGTTCAAGTTGTAGGATGCTTCAGGTAAACCCTGAGATAGGGTTTAAGTTGTAGGATGCTTCAGGTAAACCCAGAGATAGGGTTCAAGATGTAGGATGCTTCAGGTAAACCCGGAGATAGGGTTCAAGTTTTAGGATGCTTCAGGTAAACCCGGAGATAGGGTTCAAGTTGTAGGATGCTTCAGGTAAACCCGGTGATAGGGTTCTAGTTGTAGGATGCTTCAGGTAAACTCGGAGATAGGGTTCAAGATGTAGGATGCCTCCGGTAAACCCGGAGATAGGGTTCAAGTTGTAGGATGCTTCAGGTAAACCCGGAGATAGGGTTTAAGTTGTAGGATGCTCCAGGTAAACCAAGAGATAGGGTTCAAGATGTAGGATGCTTCAGGTAAACCCGGAGATAGGGTTCAAGTTTTAGGATGCTTCAGGTAAACCCGGAGATAGGGTTCAAGTTGTAGGATGCTTCAGGTAAACCCGGAGATAGGGTTCTAGTTGAAGGATGCTTCAGGTAAACTCGGAGATAGGGTTCAAGATGTAGGATGCCTCATGTAAACCCGGAGATAGGGTTCAAGTTGTAGGATGCTTCAGGTAAACCCGGAGATAGGGTTCTAGTTGTAGGATGCTTCAGGTAAACCCGGAGATAGGGTTCAAGTTTTAGGATGCTTCAGGTAAACCCGGGAGATAGGTTTCAAGTTGTAGGATGCTTCAGGTAAAAACCCGGAGATAGGGTTCAAGTTGTAGGATGCTTCAAGTAAACCCGGAGATAGGGTTCAAGTTGTTGGATGCTTCAGGTAAACCCGGAGATAGGGTTCAAGTTGTAGGATGCTGAAGGTATAGCGTAGTGTCGGATCTAATTCTATGTTTTGTCGTATATAATTAAAAGAAGTTCTGCAAAAAATTATTAATTTTTATAATTATTTGTAATCCCTTGCCTCTTACTTTAAAAAGAACGAATATCATATATCATAGAAATTAGAAACAATGAATAAGTTATATTTTCAATTAAATAATCTACGTGGGATCATTTAGAGGGGTAGATATGAATTTTTAATAATAACATTTATTTTATCTTTTGTAATTATGTAATCGTTAAAAAAACGGGAGGATGAATAGTTTTTTAATATTGTTTGAATATTGTAGATGTTTGCCGAACAAGCAGCAGGGCTACACCGGAGGAACCTTCAGGACGGTTGTCATCGCGAACAACATCACCCTTCTCTCCAAGGAGGTCACTCCAAACATCACAGGGAAGGATGTGCATGAGTGCAAGAAGTTCTCTAAACAGAAAGGGAGTGTGTTCGATATTCTCTCTAAAAGCTTGGCTCCCTCCATTCACGGTCACGAGTTCGTTAAGAAGGTAACGAGAACTTTTCAAGCTTTTCATCATTCAAATTACAAAAATTATCCCTGATAGAAAACTATCCATTAAAACAATTTTGAGTATGTTAATAGCTTAAATTCTTATTTGATCATGAAATTGAATGCATTTACCTTCTTTTTTATTTGTTTTAATCTGTTTATCTGAGAGGTAGAGGAAAGATAAGGATTAGATTTTTTGAATAGCTTAGTCGATTGATTTTCACAAATAAAATTTTTTATAAATGGAAGTATGACGTCCTTAAAACCCTGATTTGTCTTGTATCTGTTTCTGTTAGGCCCTGCTGTGTATGCTGTTGGGAGGAGTGGAGAGAAACCTACCAAATGGAACCCGTCTCAGAGGAGACATTAACATCCTTCTTATTGGAGATCCTAGTGTTGCAAAATCTCAACTTTTAAGGTAAACATTAATCATTTTTATCAGCGATTTATTTGTTTTTGGTGATCAGAGCTGTGAATTTTTAAATTTACGATAAAAGTTAAAAGGAGTACATAAATTCTTTGGGAGTCAAACCCCTTTCTTAACCCGTCTTGTAAGAGTAAATTTTACTTTTAGAAAATTTTAGAATTCTAAAGATTTAGCTAGAGAGCTTAAATTATGACTCGATCAAAAAAAGCTCATATACTTTATTTTTCCTTAGATATGTTCTGAACACAGCTCCTCGCGCTATTGCAACCACTGGTAGAGGAAGCAGTGGTGTTGGTTTAACAGCTGCTGTCACCACAGACAAGGATACTGGAGAACGACAGCTGGAAGCAGGAGCTATGGTTCTAGCAGACAGGTAGCTTTCAGATTTTTTTTTCATGGTTGTAAGCTCTCAAAAATGATTAAAAAATTATATTTGATGCCACTTAGTACATAAGCCCATATCTTAACAATTTTTATTCATAAAAAAACTCGAGTAAAAAACGAAAGATCAAACCATTTTTGGTAAAGCATTATGAAGGGAAATGAAAGTCTTCAAATTTATATTTTATATTAATATTTTTACATAAAACTAAATGCTCATAAATGGCGCTTCAAAAGGAAAGGAATGGGGTATTTCCTAATACTTCCCACTTTTATAAATCCATGAAATATATCGTGGGAAAAATCATGATTTTTTTATGACTGGTGCGCGGGGGAAGGGAAGTGGAGGATTCTAAGGAAATATAAATCAGTTTATATAAATCAACGCTGATCTTAAAAAAAACAAACATTTTATGTTAAAAAAAATTATTTAAAAGAAAAAGTTGATATCTAATGATATTCCAGAGGTGTTGTCTGTATTGACGAGTTTGACAAGATGACTGATGTTGATAGAACCGCGATCCACGAGGTCATGGAACAGGGTCGTGTCACCATCAGCAAGGCAGGGATTCACGCGAGCTTAAACGCGCGTTGTAGCGTGCTTGCTGCCGCTAACCCTGTTTATGGTCGGTATAATCCCTACAAATCCCCCATGGAAAACATTGGTCTTCAGGATTCTTTACTTTCAAGGTATTTCAAACTAAACATTTAAACTATTATTTAATAAACATTTAAGGGACTTTAAATGTAATTCCAGATGATCCTCAACTTTAAGATTCACAATGGCACCCTTTCAAACTTTTTACGAGTAACAATCAGGAATTCACTTTTGTTAGAGAAACCTTAATTAAAAACAATCTACTTTCAACTTGAAAAATAAAATCATCTCATTCATCCTCTGATCAGACCGTTAATTCAGAATGAGGGGTCACTTGAAATAACGTCACCAGTCCCTTTTTAATTAAAAATAATATTCTGGTAGAAAATACACACATATATCAATTCTGTTGACCTATACAATTATAATAAACGGTACTTAACAAACAGAAGTAAAAAAGAATAAGGAATAACTTCAGAAATATGAATGTAGCGTGAAAACTGACGGAAATTGTTAACACTAAATAGTTCTTTCTTAAAACTGTTTCTCAATGACCTATATGAATTTTCTTATTTAAAAATTGTCTTTCCCCTGAATTAATTCGAATAGAATTTTTTTACACAAAATATGATGTTTAGGTTTGACTTGTTGTTCATCCTGCTTGACACTATAGATGTGGATAATGATCGTAAGATCGCTGATCATGTTGTAAGAATGCACAGGTAAGGCTAAAAAACTATACATTTTTTAGAGAGGGGGGGGGGTTGTCTCCTGGTTTCAGACCACCTTTTTTATAAAGCGTATATTTAGTTAGTTTTTTTATCCACGTTGATTTAATTTATTATTAATTCCTCCAGGTACCGAAACCCTAATGAACAGGACGGCGAGGTCCTGAGCATTGCTGCGGACGCGGACGTGTTAACTACCAAGGACCTTGAGGGAGAGGAGGACGAGAACGAAGAGACGCCGATGTACGAGAAGTACGACGCTCTTCTACACGGCAACTCCCGGAAGAAGTCCGACAAGATTGTTAGCGTCCAGTTTATGAAGAAATATATCCACATCGCTAAATGTATCCGCCCCGCCATGACCGACGAGGCAAGCAGTATTATCGCCGAAGAATACGCCGATTTGAGAACGGCGGATTTCGCCAACGATATGGCAAGAACCCAACCTGTGACTGCTAGGGCACTAGAGACACTTATTCGTCTCGCTACTGCTCACGCTAAGGTATGTTAACAAAAATTATTCATTCATTCGCCTTTGTCATGAAACTGAACACTGCCCCAAACTCAAATTTTCCAATCTTTATGAAAGAAGGCTCTCCCCCCGTTAAACTCTGCGTCCCAACCCTTTACGGTGCTTTACCATCTATTGTGTTTTATCCTGAGTACAATTATAGTGTTAATTAAAAGTCTAGGTTGAGAACAAAAGTATAAACTCGTCTCGTTAACTTTTTTCTAGATAATCTTTCAACAAATTTTTTTCGTCCTTTAAATTGCCTGTGATACTACTGATGTGTCTACTCTAAATGTATCATTTAAAACCACTGTGCCTCCTCTGCATAAAATTTCCTTCACAGGGCTGGATCACTGCCATCATTTCCTTATCTTGAGATTAATGGTATTGTTAACTCCTAGGCTAGGTTGAGTAAGGTGGTTGAGGAGGAGGATGCCGAGACAGCTATACAGCTGGTACAGTTCGCATACTTCAAGAAGGTTCTCACTAAGTCAAACAAGAGAAGGAAAAGGTAAGAAGCACTCCTGCGGTAGTAAACCTAAAATTTATCTAGTAATGGAATAACTATTTTCTTCTTCTTAACAACTTTTTACCGTCATAAATTCAAACAAAAATTTAATATTTGATTTAACGACACAAAAATTATTTTTCTACGAACAATTATTTTACCTCAGGATACATGTGTTAATTAAGTCTTAATTCTGATATTTTTTTTTTTTTTTGTTTTAATCTCATCAAACAATGAAAATTGCCAGAATCCAATTACATCATAAATGCAGTGATTTAAACTGAAGCCGTTCTAAATTTTGAACCTTCCTTAGGGATGATGGTAGTGAGGATGAGGAAGGGATGAGCCAGGAGGATGAAGAAGGAGATGAAGAAATCCGTCCTACTCCGAGTAAGAAACCAAGGTACACATATTTCAAAAGTTTCCAACCGGTTGAAGTGAGTTTTGCAATTCATTTCAACTCGTCAATTTACCCACTGACTTTAGTTTTGACAGCTCAGAAACTACTTCCCCCACACAGTTTCGTAGTGTCTCTTAGTCAACTACAAACCAAAGTTTTGGTTCCTTAGTCTAGTTCAGTTTTTGGATTACTCCAAGGACCACCATAGGGATGTAGTATGAGTTACAGTGGTTAACATGATAAGAAGTTTCTTGTTATTCTTCTAATAGTAAAATAAGGTAGATTTAATGCATCCACGTATGCATAATATATAAGATGGGTTCTCTGTTTATTTTTTTTATGTCATCGCATTTTAGTTTTATGATAAACTTTCAATCAACGTGTTTTCCCCCCTTCTTCCAAAGCTTCATCGCAGTTGGAAGTCTTGTAAGTACATTTCTAGTTATATTCAGGGGATTAAATTTTCTCATTGTGCTTATGACCCAAACCTGACCAAGTTTCGGTTCTCAGGCACACCATGATAATGATACGTCAACAGCATACGTTTTTAGAAGCTATTCATCACATTTTTATAGCATGACAACATGACAAGAACAACAAACTTAAAAACAATACTTTTTCTGAGCGCTAGAGGTTTTAAACTTTTTATTCGGATTGAAGTTTTACAACCAGTGCAATAACTACCATTTTTGTGCCAATGCCTGTAATTCGCTATGTAGAATGGGTTGTTCTGACTTTTTATTATCTGATTTTTTGCATTTTATTAAAACCAAAACTGTAAATTTTTTAAAGGTATCTTTAATCGCTAGAGATGTTGCAAAATTCGTATTTTAGGTTAAACAGTGAAAAGTTAGTTTTCCATAATAGTGGTGTACGATAATATAACGAAAACTTTAAACTTTATCCATTCACAGAACGGGTTTCATGATAAGATTTTAGGTATCAAATGTAGCGTAAACTATTTTGGGAAAAATGTTCGGATGATTTTTTCTCTCTTATTTTGACAAAGCTTTTAAAGTTAATTTTGTTGGAAATTTCCTCTCCTTCACTAGTGGATGTTATTAAATAAATTTAACGTCAATTAGAATTTCCACAATATTTGAGATTGTTGTATAACCATTTTAATATATTTATTTTTCAAATATTTGTAAAATTTGGGCTAAAACTTGGAAGGAGAATTAATTTTCTCTTGTACTAAATGTTATTAAGTTAATTTTAGTATTACAAAACATAATTCATAGAATTTTTAACTTTTTTTCAACCTGCTTATATGGTAAATAGTCTGAAAATTCCTTGGAGTTAGAGTAAGTTTTCCAGAGTTTTCTCTTTTTCCTAATAACTTTCATTATTCCTTTCTGCATCCAGGGAGGATTGTTTCCTCCTTTTACAACTTTTAGCGGCACAGAATCCTCAACTAGATTGTTCAGTTTACCCCTAAACACTTCCCTGGAGGACACTGTAGTCTCCATCTCCATAGCCTGAAAATCGGCACGTTTCAAATTTCTAACTTTCACTTTCTCACTTTTATCAAAATATTTCATTTTAGCATGAACTAAAATCTTTACATGGTCGCTAGACCCCAGTGGTACAACGTCCTTAGAGAAGGAACAATATTAAAATTGCTTGAATGCACTAGATCAGGCATTGTTCTAGAGTTATGAGTTAAAAAGTTTACATTCTGTGAAATAAAGTTTTCCTGAACTACAACTGTTTGATTTACAAGTTTAAAAAGCATTTTATTTGTTAGCAATCTTTGTATTTTTTCTAATACAAATTATCTAACAGGTTGTGGAAAACCTTTTAAAAAATGAAAATTTAAAAGAAAAAAAAATCGATGTACGTGATCGGAATGTATAGCATAAACTTAGACAAAAATAATAATATTGAATAATGTTCAGAAAAGGATCGGCTGAAGGTATAAGTGTAGAGGAGAGTGAACTACTCGCTGCTACTGCTGCAGCTTCTAAACCTGCCACCGTTGAGGTCTCCTCGGAGAGATATAAACACTTCATGTCTCTATTATACAAACTTGTCCAAGAGAACTATCAGGTATTTTGTGATAGATATGGGATTTTTTGGGAGATATATAATGGGTGGTGGGGGGAGATGGGCGGCAAGTCGAGGAGAAAGTGTAAGTTTGTTAAGAATGTTAGCTTAATATATAAGAAAGTGAAAGAGAAAGTCCAAGTGATCTGAGGAAAAGTGAAAGTTAGGGTCTAAGTGAGGAGAAAGGGAAGTAGGTTGAAGTTGGATGAGGAAATGAAAGTTTGCAAGTGGAAGAAATAAATTTAAATGAAAGTTTGATGACTCAATGGTGTATATTTTCACGAATAATCAACCTACCTTTTTAAAAAAAAAATTTTCCCTCAGATGTAATGCAGTTTTGCAAACATTAAGGGTTTTATTCGCTGAATTGGGGAAGATAGATGACTTAAGGGGTAANATCGTCAAAATTATACACCCCTGGGATGATAATAAAGTGAATAACTTTTGATTTATAGAAGAAGCGGGTTGCAAAGCTAATAATAATAATAAGATTTAAATTGATGGATATGTTATTTCAGACTCAGTCCCTGGAGATGCAGCAGATTTACACTTTCATGGAGAGGAATGAGAAGCAAAAACCATTTTCTGAGGTAAACAGAACAAAGTTAATTTTCTTCAGCAAATGCCAATATTAACCTTATCATTTCGAATTTGATAAAGTGTGCGATAACAATTTACGTTCTTGAGTTTCTAACCAGATAACAGCGCTTAGGTTTAATTTTGTTCCACAGCTTGCATAATTTGAGTCAACTGGAAACCCTTGATGTGAGCAAAATTTTGAAAATTGATTAACTTTAATTTAAGGATTTCAAAAATTTGACTGATTTAATAAATTTTTCTTAGCTTAGTTTTAATTTATCTTGACCTGTGGTGAAAAGTACATAGTTAAGACATTAGACGATTATTTTAAAACATTAAAATGTTAGTTTTTCGGAACATAATCCACTTGATAAATGAGAAATAAAGATTTTTCAGAAATTTTGTTTTTTTAAAACTGTTACTAGGCTGAGATTGATTTTCAGAATTAAGATTTTTTAAATATTTTATTAGGCTGAGATTGATGTGGTGTTAGACCGTATGCAGGACGAGAACAAGGTGATGAGGAGTGGGGAAACCATCTACATCATCTAGACCAACCTCGACACCAACCTCATTACCATCTTCAACATCGAGAACATTATCACAATGATTCAAGATCCTAACCTTGCTGGCCTTATCTGATAGTACAAGCATAGTTTGCCAGTTTTTATGCAAATATATTTTTATATTTTTACTTATCGGTTTTTTCATCTCACCATTTTATATTTTCAGATATATTTACAATGAAGATTAATTACTGTAAGAAAGGGTCCAGTAACTTTTTGATACTAGTACTTCGTAAAATATTTAAGAAAGTGCAACGAGACTAGAGCATTAAATTTTACTTTTGTGTGAATTTTATTTTAATCTAAATATAGTTTGGAGCTTACAATATTGAGTTCAGCGCACAATGAATATTGACTGAATGAAAGCTTAAAATACAAATATATCCATTAAGAAATTGATTTGTAAGGTGTAGTAGGCGTTCACAATTTAGTAGTTGATGAACATTCCAGAACAAGATGGAGGATGATGAATGTGATCTGGACACCCTCCTGGAGGTCATGGAGGACGAAGAGTTTGAAGATGACCCTGTAGAAGCTACTGAGGATGTTAAAGTGACTGGACCTGAGGATGAGGTTGAAGATGAGGAAGATATTGAACGACAGCTGAAGGAGATGGAAGAGAAAATGAGGAAAATGAAGGAAAAATTGAAAAATAAAACGACGGACAAGAAACCAACTTCATCCACATCAGGGAAATATAAAATATTATGTTATTATCTTTTAGAAGAAAGCTGCAAGCGCGTTCTTAAAGCACAAAGTATTCCAGCGTTGTCAACCAATTTTCCGGAAATCCAGATAATTTCGAACCTTATGGGGAATGAGACTACAAGTAAATTTATGTACTTTGGAAGAATAAAAACAATGCGTCCTGATTGTTCGTCCCCCGCTCGTTGGTCCACAATGTGCGTCCTCATTTGAAGTAACCCAATTTAACCCAGTTTATTGTTTATGCAGCGTCAAAGGAAAGATTTAAGTAGAAACGATTATTTTTAATGTTAGTTCCGAGTTCTCCTCTTGTCGCTGAAAACAAGATTAAATCTAAAGAAAAAATAAATACATCCAGTGCTGAGAAGCGTCCTGGGATAGAGAAGAAAAGATTTCAAAATGTCGACATCTTTAGGTTAGTAATGCAGGGGTTTAATAAGGGGATAGATATACAGAGGTTTAATAAAGAGATAGATATACAGGGGTTTTATTTGGAGATTTATTTGGAGATAGATGTTCTGAGATCGGAACTGTATGTAGGTTAATCTTTTTATCTAATGAGGATATAAAAGTAATTGATTCCTTCATTATAGTTATTCCTGCAGGCAGTGCTTAGGATCCGGACCGAATCCATTGGATTGGCTTCCTGGCTTCCTGGATCCGGATCCAGGAAGCCAAAATCCGTATCCGCATCAAAATTAGATGGATCCCAATCACTGCCTGCAGGGTATGACTACAACGGGATGTCGAAAAGGAACAAAATTAATTCCCAAGTCTGCATAAGATTGAGATCAAAGCTTGACCTTGAGATTCACAAAAAAATAGTTCCGATTTCTGTACATAACATCTTTTTAATGCAAATTCTCAATGTTGATCGAGTAAAAGAATTATTTTGGAATAAAAATTAACGATAGAAATGATGAATCAATACCATAAAAATAACTCATCAAACATTTTTTTTATTTCTTGGATTGACTTCTTAGTGCAGTTTCCGTTTGACTTCTTTGTCGGTCATTGACCCCCCCATAAAAAAACACGTGTAGTTTCTTTTTGTGCTCCAAACCCTTATTGACAATTTGACTTGGTGGACCCTTCTGTTCTGTTTATTTATTAAAATATTAGTTTTTAAATCGTTACACAGAAAATACAGATTGCATGAAATTTTAATTTTTTTCCCCGACATTTTTCTTTAATCATTACTCTCAATCGATAATATTATTGATCTTTTAATCCATTATTTTTTTTCTATTTTATAAAACATCATTTTTTCTAAATACCAAGAAAGGGGGATTATTTGATAAAATTACTAATTGCTTTTTTATAATTAGTTAGGTTTTTTGTATATTAAATATTTAAGTAGATTAAGATAAACAAGAATTTCTCCTGAAGAAAAACCACTTAGACTAAAGAATTGAAGTAATGGGACGTGGGCGACATATTGTAATTTAGGAACAAAATCGCCAAAACTGAAAGTAATGTCTTCATAGTTTTTCAAAAGTATATATTTTGCCGTTTTTAGTTCTCCAGGGACCAACGCGGCTCACATTCGGACGTTGAAGTCTCCAGTAAAAACTCAGCCACATAAGGTAACTTAGCAACTTTGCTCATTTTGTAACTGGATATTTTGTCACATTGGTCTTTTTGTTAGTTTGGACATTTTTTAACTTAGGGCGTTTTTTAACTTTGGATATTTTGTAATTTTGGACAATATCTTTGGTAATTCTGAAAGAAATAAAATGGCAGACCACATTTTAGAAATGGGAAGACTAGGGCTATATTTTATGAACAATATTGCTCAAATTAGGTTTCTTAACATGAATGCTGGAAACTATTTTAAAGGTCAAAACGACTTGAAGTCTTCAATCAATTAATATTTATTCCGGCTTATTTAGAACATCACTGTGTAGTAAACCATGAATTTTAGAAATCATGATCCAAGTCTAATTCAAATCCTGTACTTATTTGAAAAGATATGTAATATGTTTATCTAATTACTGTCTTGAAACTCTAGATGGTAGATTTTGAAATAGCAAGCTTATATTTCTTCATTTTAAAATCAACAACGCCTTTTACAAATGCCCATTAAATAGCTGCGTTCAGTTGGCAATCCGTTTGTCCCAAACCTATATCTTGACCTTTGACCTTTGAAGTTTCTTTGGACCTTTGACCGTCATCTTTCAAGGAGGCTGAGAAGGAGAAGAGGGCGGTAGTTTACGAGGCTAGGACAACAGAATGGTGCCCCAGCTTCATCAGATCAGATACTACCAGAGTTATCCAGGTATACTTTATAGGCATACTGGCTTGGAATATCCAGGTATATCTTACTGGCTAAGACTTCCTAGGTATATAGGTCTGCTTGCGAAGACTACCCAGGTACTATGTCAGCATACTTGCGTACTGCATAGGTAATGTATGTACTTTTGCTTGGGCTGCTGGCCTTGTTTACCAAGGTACTTAGACGTGGCTTCCTGACAAAGATTCCAAGGTACTTAAGCTTAACCGTCAGTCGTCACATTACCAATGTATTTAAGCTTATTGGCCAAAATTACCAAGGTACTTAGGCTTACTGACCACGCCATGTACTTAAGCTTACTGGCCGTGGCCAAGCCAGGTACTTTGGCCTCCTGGCCGTAATCAAGCTAGGGACTTAGGCTTACTGGCCAAGCCGGGTTCTTTTGCTTACTGGCCAAGATGTCAAAACAACTGACTTTGTTTAAGATTATCAAGGTACTTTGGCTTAGTAGCCAAGCCAGGTAAATAGGCTTCCTGGCAAAGATTTCCCAAATTCTTAGGTTTACTGGCCAAGATTATATAGTTACTTAAGATTTTCTGTTAATTTACTGAACTTTACTGTTCAAGATGAACAAGGTACTTAGTTAGGCTTAGGCTTAAATTATTCAAATTCACAGTCACAGTACACACTTAAACATACGTCACAATCAATCAATAAATCGAGAAGAGAATGTTAATTTTTGAAATATAATAATTATATTTATCCCTGCAGGGAGATGAAGCTGTGAAGCTGCGAGAAGATTTAAAGATTACAGACAGGAAGAAGATGGAGGAAGTAGCTCGGCGGGATCTCATGGATAGTAGTGATGACGAGAGGTAGATGTTTTTTATATTTTGTTGTATTAGTTTATATTTAAGTATTCCTCCTTTTTTATAGAGTCATATGTACGGTTCACAATGGTATCCTTTAAAACTTTGTCTGATTAAAGGAGAAATAAAAGCTAAAAATTGTTATTTTCAACTGTGATTTAACTAAAAACAACATTTGTATTGTTTAAAATAAAAAACTACCATATCTTTGACATCATTCTCACAAGCTAGAAGTAAGAGTTTATCTAATCAGCTCTAATAAATCAATTAAAGAATATTATCAGAAATATATTTGAACATACCATACTGGATCTTTTATTTATTTATTTACTTTAAAGGGGATCATTGTGAATTGAACATGCCACTATCAAACTTAAGGGTGACTTGAAGACGACGTCAACTGTCCCACCATAGGCTTTTCATTGCTTCAGAGATGAGGATGGGGTACCAGTGTTCAGTGAGCAGACTAAAGAGATGAAGGCGCGTATTGCGCATGCACAGAAAACCGAACAGAGTCAGAGGTTTGCACAAACGCATCAAGGTTCTGCTTCGACCGGCAGCAGTCCTGGAACTGTCGACAGGTACAACCTGATCTGCCTATGCCAAATATTTTCAAATACCCCGAGCTAGGAATCTTTGCATTGGATTTTCCAGTTATTGGATTTACCAGTTACTGGATTTTCCAGTTATTGGATTTTTCAGTTATTGGATTTTCCAGTTATTGGATTTACCAGTTATTGGATTTTCCAGTTACTGGATTTAACAGTTATTGGATTTTCCAGTTATTGGATTTACCAGTTACTGGATTTACCAGTTACTGGATTTACCAGTTATTGGACTTTCCAGTTATTGGATTTTCCAGTTATTGGATTTACCAGTTACTGGATTTACCAGTTACTGGATTTTCCAGTTATTGGATTTTCCAGTTATTGGATTTTCCAGTTATTGGATTTTCCAGTTATTGGATTTTCCAGTTATTGGATTTTCCAGTTATTGGATTTTCCAGTTATTGGATTTTCCAGTTATTGGATTTTCCAGTTATTGGATTTTCCAGTTATTGGAGTCTCCAGTTATTGGATTTTCCAGTCATTGGATTTTCCAGTTATTGGATTTTCCAGTTATTTGATTTTCCAGTTATTGGATTCTCCAGTTATTGGATTTTCCAGTCATTGGATTTTCCGGTTATTGGATTTTCCAGTTATTTGATTTTCCAGTTATTGGATGTACCAGTTATTGGACTTTCCAGTTATTTGATTTTCCAGTCATTGGATTTTCCAGTTATTTGATTTTCCAGTCATTGGATTTTCCAGTTATTGGATTTTCCAGTTATTGGATTCTCCAGTTATTGGATTTTCCAGTCATTGGATTTTCCAGTTATTTGATTTTCCAGTTATTGGATTCTCCAGTTATTGGATTTTCCAGTCATTGGATTTTCCAGTTATTGGATTTTCCAGTCCAGGAATTCAGCACTTGGTTGGTTTATTTTCGGAAATCTACACAGCATAATTGTAAACTGTAAAAATCCTAAATTAATTGTAGATTCAATACAAAATGTCCTAGTTTTTTTTATGTATTTTAATCTTACTTGTCGGCTACTTTAATTTGAGGACAACTATTTGATCCCTTAATTGTAATTATACCTTGCCGGGTTTGAATACAACGGGGTTTAGAAGAGTGATTAAATTAATCTGTGGGTGTGGAGATCTAAGAGATTCAAAACACAAAAGTTCTAACTTCCGGCATGTGAATCATATTCAAAGTGCGTGATATTAGCTATGTCATTGTTGCAGTAAAACTACTTGATCACTAGGATATAATTTTTTCCTGTAATGAACAAATTGTATCAGAGCTGAGAACTCTTGTATTGTGTATAATGCTTATCCTGTTCTCTTGTTAATCTGCAGATAAATTTAATCTTTATTCGATATTCTACATGGTAACCGTACCCAGTCAGGGTTAGAAGGGAGCTTTGATCAGGGGTTGAATGAAGCTTTGATCAGAGGTTAGAAGGGAGCTTTGATCAGGTTTTGAAGGAAGCTTTCATCAGGGGTTGAAGAAAGCTTTGATCAGGGATTGAAGGAAGCTTTGATCAGGGGTTGAAGGAAGCTTTGATCATGGATTAAAGGAAGCTTTGATCAGAGATTGAAGGAAGCTTTGATCAAAGTTTGAACGAAGCATTGATCAGGGGTTGATCAGGGGTTGAAAGAAGCTTTGATCAGGGGTTGAAGAAAGCTTTGATCGGTGGTTGATCGAGGGTTGAAGGAAGCTTTGATCAGGGGTTGAAAGATGCTTTTTTCAGTTGTTAATCAGGAGTTGAAGGGAGCTTTAATCAGGGAAGTAATAACTGAAAATGAAGATTTTAAACACTTATCCACAAACTGAAAGAGCCTAAAGTGATAATTAAGATCAAGCCATCGGAATCATGAGTGTCCAATACAAAAGTTCCCAGATAAGGTCCAATTGAAGCTTCATCCCACAACTGTTCTTAATTGTTTTTATACAAAACTTAATGCTGATTTTTCTAACAGGATTAAGAGGATTGGAGTTAGCTCCGGGTTCCAGGATAAACCAGGCAATAAGGTTAAACTTGGTACTGCGGAGTCTGGTAAACCTACTGGTATCATTGTAGAGAAGAATTCAGGGATCAGGATCTCCAGACCTAAGATCTCACAACATCAGCTCATGGTAGGAATTCAACTTTTATAATTTTTTAGAAATATTCAGATCTGAGAATGATTTAGATGTTAGTAATATTCGGATCTTAATAGGATTCAGATGTTAGTAAGACTCAGGTCTTGGTAGGATTCAGATCTTAGAGGGATTCAGATCTTATAGTAGGATTCAGATCTTAGTAGGATAGTAGGATTCAGATCTTAGCAGGATAGTAAGGTTTATATGTTAGTAAGATTTAGATGTTTAGTTAGTAAGATTCAGATGTTAGTAAGATTCAGATCTTAGTAGGATTCAGATCTTAGTAGGCTTTAGATCTAGGCTTCAGATCCTAGTAAGATTCAGATCTTGGTAGGATTTATATCTTAGTAGGATTCGGATCTTATTAGGATTCAGATCTTAGTAAGATTGTTATCTTAGTAAGACTCAGATCTTAATAAGATTCAGATCTTAGAAAGATTCAGATCTTAGAAAGATTCAGATCTTAGAAAGATTCAGATCTTAGTAAGATTCAGATCTTAGAAAGATTCAGATCTTAGTAAGATTCCGATCTTAGTAGAATTTAATCTTAGTAAAATTCAGATATTAGTAAGATTCAGATTTTAGTAAGATTCAGATCATAGGAGATTTTGACGTTAGTAAGATTCATATCTTGGTAGGATTCAGATCTTCGTAGGATTCAGATCTTTGTAGGATTAAGATATTAGTGGGATTCAGATCTCAGTAAGATTCAGATCTTGGTAGGATTTAGATCTTAGTAGGATTCAGATCTTTGTAGGATTCAGATCTTTGTAGGATTCAGATCTTCGTAGGATCAGATTTTAGTAAGATTCAGATCTTAGTAAGATTCAGATCTTAGGAAGATTTAGGTTTTGGTAGGATTCAGATCTTGGTATGATTCAGATTGTGGTATGATTCAGATCTTAGAAGGATTCAGATCTTAGTAAGATTCAGATCTTAGTAGGATTCAGATCTTAGTAGGATTCATATCTTAGTAAGATTCAGATCTTGGTAGGATTAAGATCTTAGTAAGATTCAGATCATAGTAAGATTCAGATCTTTTTGAAATTTCATTTTGCAGTTAGAATATATATTAGTGAGTTTGCATGCAAACAGTTAGCGTACTAGGACATTGCTAAGTTATGTTTAACCACTGTTTGAAATTTCTGGAGAGTAATTCGACCTATGCCCCCCCGCATTGAACTGGCATTAGGTAGTTCTTCGACGTAGCTCAAATTTCATAAATATTGAATTCGGTCCCTTAAACTTTTTGTTCAGGATGCAATGAGAGGAAGAAAGATGATTCATATGTCCAAAATCAGAGAGAGTATTGCTAGGTAAGATTTTATTGTAATATTTCTGTGCCATTATCTACATATGTATAATATATTAAAGTAGTAATCTCTGTTTGTTTGTTTGACCGATCATAACGCAGAAACCCCTGAAACGGTTTGCCTCAAATTTAGATTTGGGAACTTGGGAAACCTAAGGAAATGTTTTTGGCTTTGTTTTGAAATTTTAAGTTAAATGGGTTTAGGTATAAATTGCAAAAATCGTAATTAACGGGAAAATGGCGGAAGTAACGGTAGTAGTAATCTGTGTGTTCTTTTTGTAGGTCCGATCATTACTTAAAATCCCCCTAAACGATTTAACTCAAATTTTGATTGGGGAACTCAGTAGAACCACGGAATCTTCTTAGCTAGGTTTTTAAACGTTCTTAGTTGAATAGGTAGGCTCTTATAAAGAAAGTTGTGTTCCCAAGCTAGTGTTGTAAAATATAAATTTCTGTTTTTCTGTTTTTGTTTGTTTGTACGTCCTATCATGAAATGATGAACCCCTTGACCGATTTGCCTCAATTTTTGATAGGAAAATTAGCAGAACCACAGGATTGTGGCGGAACCAAGGCAAAAGTTCTAAATTAAGTTAGTTGACTTTTATAGAGATATGTTAGTTTCCAGGTAAAGCTGAGTGCCCTGTCCAATCTAGTTAATAACAAAATAAGTTTTCTCTCTGATTATTATCAGTTTGATAAAAGAAATATTTATTAAAAATGTCTATTTGTGGTAACGATAAATCTTTTCTTTAAAACTAATTTGTAAATATCGTATGTAGATTACTAAGAACGGTTAGTAACTGGGTAATATGGGAGTTATCTATGTATATTAAGTAGTAATCTCTGTTTGGTATGTCCGGTATAACTCATAAACCCCTTGACCGATTTCACCAAAATTTTGATTGGGGTAATGTTCTTAGGTCAGTTATGAATTTAGTAGATTGGGGTTTGAAAAGAAAACTAGTTTCCAAGATATATTATAATATTAAAATTGAAAATTAGTTTTTTTATGGAAACTAAACTTTCCGTATAAAAGTCGATATACTAAATTTAAATTTTACAAACCAAACTTTAATGTATTTCCGTGGTTTTACCGATTTCCTCAATAAAAATTTTAGGCAAAAATATTAGAAAGGAAACAGAAGGGAATATATTGAATATTGTATATTAGAAAGGAAACAGATGGGAATATATTGAATATTGTATATTAGAAAGGAAACAGATGGGAATATATTGAATATTGTATATTAGAAAGGAAACAGATGTGACTATATTGAATATTGTATATTAGAAAGGAAACATATGGGAATATATTGAATATTGTATATTACAAAAGAAAACAGATGGGAATATATTGATTGTTGTATGTTAGAAAGGAAACAGATGGGAATATATTGATTATTGTATATTAGAAAGGAATCAGATGGGAATATATTGAATATTGTGCATTAGAAAGGAAACAGATGGGAATAGTTAAATATTGTATTTAGAAAGGAAACAGATGGGAATATATCGAATATTGTATATTACAAAAGAAAACAGATGGGACTATATTGAATATTGTATATTAGAAAGGAAAAAGATGGGAATATATTGAATATTGTATGTTCAGGGTGGCCAAAATGTACGGATTGTACGGATTGATTTTTTTTAACCCTAAAATTGTACGGATTGTACGGATTGTACGGATTTGTTTTCAAATTGTACGGATTGTACCGATTTTTATCCTGAAAAATACACCGTTTTTTTAAATTTTCACTCATTTCAGCAAATTTTTCATGATTCGAAAATTGTACGGATTGTACGGATTTCTTCTGAAAATGTACGGATTTTTGTACGGATGTGTTCAAAAAAGTTTTGGCCACCCTGTATGTTAGAAAGGAAACAGATGGGAATATTTTCAATATTGTATATTAGAAAGGAAACAGAAGGGAATATATTGAATATTGTATATTAGAAAGGAAACAGATGGGAATATATTGAATATTGTATGTTGGAAAGGAAAAAGATGGGAATATATTGAATATTGTATATCAGAAAGGAAACAGATGGGAATATATTGAATATTGTATATTAGAAAGGAAACATATGGGAATATATTGAATATTGTATATTACAAAAGAAAACAGGTGGGAATATATTGATAATTGTATATTAGAAAGGAATCAGATGGGAATATATTGAATATGAAACAAATGGGAATATATTAAATATTGTATATTAGAAAGGAAACATATGGGAATATATTAAATATTGTATATTAGAAAGAAAACAGATGGGAATATATTGAATATTGTCTATTAAAAAAGAAAACAGATGGGAATATATTGAATATTGTATATTACAAAAGAAAACAGATCGGAATTTATTGAATATTGTATATTAGAAAAGAAAACAGATGGGAATATATTGAATATTGTATCTTAGAAAGGAAACAGGTGGGAATATATTGATTATTGTAAATTAGAAAGGAATCAGATGGGAATATATTGAATATTGTATATTAGAAAGGAATCAGATGGGAATATATTGAATATTGTATATTAGAAAGGAAACAGATGGGAATATATTAAATATTGTATAGTAGAAAGGAAACAGATGGGAATATATTGAATATTGTATATTAGAAAGAAAACAGATAGGAATATATTGAATATTGTATATTTGAAAGGAATCAGATGGGAATATATTGAATATTGTATTTTAGAAAGGAAACAAATGGGAATATATTAAATATTGTATATTAGAAAGGAAACAGATGGGAATATATTGAACATTGTATATTAGAAAGGTTAATGGTTGGTAAGTTGGTAACTAAAGGGAGATGTTTTCCAAAGTCATAAATATTAGAAAGGAAACTGATAACATCTATATAGTAGAGTTCTTCTCTGACCAAACGGCTGGACCAAATTGGCTTAAATTTGTTAAGGGAACCCATGGGTATTGGGTACCCAAGGGGCAGGTGGTAACATAGACTAAAAGCAATTTCTTAAAAAATCTAAATTTTTTCATTCCAAAATTCTAAATCTATTTTTGAAAAGTTTTTTTTTCAAAATTCAACGGGCAGCGCCGGGCACTTTAACTAGTAATATTATATATAAGGAAGGAAACAGATGGGGACTGGTTAACTATGGGAGTGTTCTCTTCTATAAGGCTTCACCTATGACTAGTAATATTATATTTGAGGAAGGAGACAGATGGGGACTGGGTATCTATGGGAGTTCTCTACTATAAGGCTCCACCTAAGAATAGTAATATTATATATTATGAAGGAAACAGATGGGGACTGGGTAACAATGGGAGTTCTCTACTATAAGGCTCCACCTAAGAATAGCAATATTAAATATTATGAAGGAAACAGATGGGGACTGGGTAACAATGGGAGTTCTCTACTATAAGGCTCCACCTATGACTAGTAATATTATATATTAGGAAGGAAACAGATGGGGACAGGGTAACAATGGGAGTTCTCTACTATAAGGCTCCACCTATGAATAGTAATATTATATATTAGGAAGGAAACAGATGGGGACTGAGTAACAATGTGAGTTCTCTAAGGAATCATAAGGAAGTGAAATGAGTTCTCTACTATAAGGCTCCACCTATGAATAGTAATATTATATATTAGGAAGGAAACAGATGGGGACTGAGTAACAATGTGAGTTCTCTAAGGAATCATAAGGAAGTGAAATCTGCAAGAGACCCCATTGTGCGCCCCCCAGACCGCCCAGGCAGCAGGGTGCACAGCCCTGCCCCTGTTCTAACTAGACCTTTAAATCCCCATCTTCTAGTCCAAATCTAGAGAAATAAAGTAGATACATTCCAGTCAGTTGGCTAACCAATTAAAAAACCATTGGTTGGTTGGTATCTGTCAACCCTTTAGGTGAAGAATAGAGGTTACCGTTGTTTAAAGTGCTCCTGCCAGTTCCATCCACCTGTCCAGCAACAGGCCGAGCTTATCCGCTCTCTTCAGAAGCACTTCTCGAGAGGCATTGTCACCCCCTAAGATCCTAGTGAGGACTGTCGTACCACTCCGGGTCGAATCGGTCATGACTACTCCCAATCCTGAAGCTGACCTTTCATAGGCTACTGCCTGGCAAGAAACGACAACATGATTTTCCGAAAGGTGGCTAACTAACCCTTTATTAAGACAAAGTGGACACCACTTTGTTGTAGAGCCATGGATGTTTGGGCGGCGATTGCCTAGCCCAGCATCTCCCGCTCTAAGTCTGTTCAGCAAACCCCCTGCTTTGCTATCACATACGTGTGGCTGGAGTTTGAACCAAACTTGAGGGGTTGGCATGCAGTTTAGGGACACAAACCGCATCTTTTGCCTCAACACCCCTTGTATTGCTGCTTCGGTGAGCCTCTTCTTCAACCTAGATTTGGGACCGTCAAAAGCTTCAATACCCAATTCAGACACCAGGTCCCCAACCATTCTCGCCCACGGGTCGTGTGCTGCGGTCGCCGCGTCGAATACATTGGTAAGAATAGGGTCACATTTCTTATGCAGAATATCCCACACATATAATGCTACGCGTTCCCTTATCCTATCCTTCATTGGTTTGAAACCCGCATCCATGTATCCCGCTACCTTGGAAGATGATCTTGGTAGCTGTAGTATAAAACGTGCTACTTGGTGTTGGATGCTATCTAGTTTGTCAACTACTCCATCAGTTACCAACATGGCCTCCACAGCATACAGAACTGCTGGGATTGCACATCTTTCCCATAGTGTATGTGCTACCAGCGCACGTTCTAGTCCAGCTCTTGTAACGCCCATGATAGTGTTAGCGTAAATTTGCGCAGTTTGTAACATACGTTCCTCTCTAGGCTTGACAAGGTTTCTTCCTTTAACCTGTATGTCTACTCCTAGGTATTTACCAACCAGAGTAGCTTCAAGGTCTGGTGTTCCCGGTTCTACTTTCCAAACCTGCCCTACCTGACCGTTGGAAAGGATTACTGTTTTCTCTATAGACAGCTTCATATACACTCCTTTACAGAACCTTGACACCTCCTTCAACATGCGTTCCATTCCTCTAACCCTTGTCCTTGAGATCAGGACCAAGTCGTCCGCAAAAAATAATGCAGATATCACTTGTCCATTGAAGTTTACCCCTTCCTTCATAGCATGTAGCCTCTCTCCGAGCCCTGCCATGTAGAGCGAGAAAAGAAGGGGTGATAATCCGCACCCTTGTTTAACGCCTTTTGTGAACCAGAGTGGGTCAGTCAAGCCTCCTTTAATCCTTACTCTTACACTGTCATTATAGTACATAGATTGAATTAGGAAGGAAACAGATTGGGACTGGGTAACAATGTGAGTTCTCTACTATAAGGCTTCACCTATGACTAGTAATATTATATATTAGGAAGGAGACAGATGGGGATTGGGTATCTATGGGAGTTCTCTATTATAAGGCTCCACCTATGACTAGTAATATTATATATTATGAAGGAAACAGATGGGGACTGGGTAACAATGCGAGTTCTCTACTATAAGGCTTCACCTATGACTAGTAATATTATATATTATGAAGGAAACAGATGGGGACTGAGTAACAATGTGAGTTCTCTACTATAAGGCTTCACCTATGAATAGAAATATTATATATTATGAAGGAAACAGATGGGGACTGGGTAACAATGGGAGTTCTCTACTATAAGGCTCCACCTAAGAATAGTAATATTATATATTATGAAGGAAACAGATGGGGACTGGGTAACAATGGGAGTTCTCTACTTTAAGGCTCCACCTTTGACTAGTAATATTATATATTAGGAAGGAGACAGATGGGGACTGGGTAACAATGGGAGTTCTCTACTATAAGGCTCCGCCTAAGACTAGTAGTAATGGGAATGATTTCTCTATATGGAAACTGACAGATCTAAAGGTAACAAAGTTGTTTTTTTGCTTTCTCATTTTTATCGGTATTTATAGATTTTTGTGAAGTCTGTTCAGGATCCATTTTTCACAGCACAGATCCCGTATCCGAGTCCGTTTCAAAATAGAAATGATGCTAAGCACTGATGATAAGTATATAATGTATTTAATTTCAAGGGTGAAATAAAGACGGTTTCCCTGTTTCTGTTTGGCAGAGCGCACAAGGAATTATGGAAATTATCTTTAAACAAGGAACAGTTAGTTGAAGAAACAAATAAGAATGATCTAGCTTTTTCCCTATTTCTGTCAATTTACTTAACAGAGCGACTTTGTGACCTTGTATCTAAACTCTATTCATGATTTTACTCATTAATATGAGACAAATAAAATAAAGATAGAATTAATCTGGTTACATTTATTCAGACTCAAATTTTTTTTTGTTCTTTTCAATAGTTCAATAGGAAGAGTTATGATTGAAAACATATCAGAGCAGGGGGGGTGTGGAGTGCAGAATTTCTAAATTAGTATAATCATCGCCACCCAAACGTGCTTTGTGGCATGTGCGCTCCTCAATTTGCTCGGGGTGAGATAATTTTTAGTAAACAGGCAGCCCAATTTTTAGTATCTTAACTCCAATCATGAAATGCAGAAATTGGATCTAAGATTCGGCTAAAATAATCTTGCCTTGTTTCTCAGTATTTGTTGACCAAACCAATCTGAAAACAAATTGAACATTTAGTTTAAGTCAATATAGATGCCATTAAACCCGGATAGATATCGAAAATTGTGTTAAAAATGCATTAAATTAAAATCTCAGAAAACAAGATTTTACGGTGATTACCAATTGAGGTGGTGGAGATTACCAATTGAGGAGCGCGCGTGCCGCACACCAATTTGCATAAGTGGATGTTTTAGAATTGAGGTTTTAAGATTAAAATATTCGTTTTTAACAAATTCTGAAAAAAGTTCGTCCATTTTAACAAAATTGGGATGATAAGCTCCCCCATTTTAACAAAATTGGGATAATAAGCTCCCCCATTATAACAAAATTGGGATATTAAGCTCGCCAATTTTATCAAAATTGGGATGATAAGCTCCCCATTTTAACAAAATTGGGATAATAAGCTCCCCCATTATAACAAAATTGGAATATTAAGCTTGCCAATTTTATCAAAATTGGGATGATAAGCTCCCCCATTTTAACAAAATTGGGATAATAAGCTCNNNNGGGGGGGGGGGGGGGGGGGGTGTTAAAGTTTTGGGACATAATGAGATCCGAAATGCTTTATTTATCTTTTCAATACTTCAAAAATTAAGACGTTAATTTTCCCAAATGGTAAAACACCTTTTCTTGGGACTAAACCCAAAATGTCCTCCATCCTATTTTATGATCCGAATTACAACGTTACCCTTGAAACATTTATTTGATCTGTAAAGATATTTTCTTTTTTAAGGTTTTAAAGTGTTGGTTTCTGATAATATCTGGCGTTTTCCTGCATTAGAAATGCGCCAGTCACTTTAGTAGCTAAACCCCAATTGAAAACGATTTAGTTTTAAAAATTATGAACGAATCAGTTTTTAAAATCATAAACATTAATATATAATTTTTGGTTGGGATTCGGGCATTGCCATCCTTGAATGGACCAGGTCACTTGAAATTCCACTTACAGTCCCTTTAAGATTGACTTTATATACCAGGTGGTATTCCTGTTTTCCGTTCCAATTTTTCTTTTATTACTGATAAAACTTAGTTAAGATTGTTTCAGGGTGAAGTTTCAATCTCCATAGATCATCCTGACAAACTACTTGAGGTTGGGGATAGTGTGGATATATCTAAATGTGGTTTCATTAAACAGGACGGAGCTAACTGTGTTAATATAGTCAATAAGGTAATCAAGGAGAGGACATCGTAGGGTGAAACTATTCCATCGAAAATCATAATGTCGAATCTTTTTTGCACCAGCCAAAAATTATACAGAAGCAAATAAGAAGCAACATTTATCAAAGAAACAAATTGAAAAAAATAATACCTCATTGGGTAATTAACGATTTAAAAAAAACTTGATCATTAGGGAAGGTTGATTTTTCAATTTTTTAAACATGATGATATGTTTATCAAAAGATGCGTCCAGAACTGCTGAATACCGTCCATTTGTTTCGATATTTCAAAAATTGTTTGATTTAAGGTTAGATCAACTAGTTCTTTTGAAGCTGCCAAATATCTTTTCGAAAAATACGCTTTTTTGCTTAGAATTTGCTTAATATTTTAAGGGATTTTTAAGAATTTTAATTTTCTGAAATATTTTTTCTGTCATATTTTTTCTGTCTTACATTAGTGATTTGATTTACACAAAAAAAGCAAAAATCTCGAATATTTTGAAATAAAACTTTCAAATCTTTTTAATGTATCCAAGAAAACTTTAAACTTGTGCAAAATGGGATTAAATATTTAAAAAATGCTCAATAATTATATGAAACGTTAACCGTATTTCCGAACTTGAATGTAACACTCTAAACTTGCTGATTTTTGGTTGTACTGCTAGGAAATTGTTTTGACAAAACAAAAACAAATTGTAAACAAAGGTCGGAAATTGTTTATTTACCCTAAACCAGTTTCTGTGCAGTCCTAATACGTCACAATTTAATGCGCGAATCCTGCCCCCCCCCCCCCCCCACCTTACATCTTATACACCTTTGTCTATCTTCTGAGCCCGTCATTTCTTTTACTTACAATGGTCGATCAGATGACGTCTCTGATTGCATGCGTACGAATTATCTATCTTTCACAGACGAATTTAGCGTTAGACATCTATCGTCCCTCTAAGTATGTCTTTAGGACGAGCTCTGTTCATATGTTATTATTGTACTTATTTGGGAAAGAACGGGCTCTGGGTAACCCACAAACAATAGTGAAGACAGGTTATGATTCGTTTAATGATTTGGCAAAGATAGAAACAAGTTTACAGTTGCAGAGAATCATAAATGTTTGGTAACGAAAAGAACAAATTTCGTACAGTCGTCTATGAAGCCAAATCCTCTGTGGGTTAGTCTGTACATTATTTTGCCGTTTTAATAAGACTGACAGTTCACTCATTCAGGGTGAGTGCGAGTTCTGTGTTTACCACGTGAAGCAAGCATTTAAAGCGAGTAGTTCCGCGCGTTCATGTCTCCAGAGCTCGTTTAGCAGCGCAGGATCAGAAGCAACCAGGGCCAGGATCATGCAGAAGATTGCTCCTAAATCTAAGGTAAAACATATGTTTTTCATATGTACAAATTTAATTTCTCCTTTTTAAATCTTTTCATATCTTTTCATACCATTTTTCAGAATCCATTGATCTCGATATATTTTAAAATAAAGTAATACGTTTGTCAGTCCAAACACAACTTTTCAATTATTTTCTTTTTAAACGTCAAAAATGACCTTTCATGGGAATTTCAGACGTGAATTATGCGGTACTGGTAGAAACACCGGACAGCAAAAACGTTGGACCAGTACAAACGTCGGACTAGGGAAAAAGATTTCATTTAAATTTTAAGATTTTTTTTTATTAAAAAGCTATTTCCATCGAATGGTCTAATTAATATAAACCTAAAACTGAGTTCTTGCCATTAAATTAATATTCTCATCCCCATATATTTGCAACCTGATGTTATTAACCTTTGATACTTTCAAGCTTAAACTGTTTGATCTTATAGAATTCATAGGTTAAAATATCAAAAGTTGCAAAGATTTAAACATCGAAGTTTGTGACAAAAACTTATCTTTGATTTTTATCACAATAAGTGAGTGATTTTAATTTATTTCTTACAATAATGGTCTTTTTTCAAACTGAACCAGGTTCCGACGTTTTTTCTTATGAATGTACCCGTCCGTCGTTTGTACTAGTCTGAGGTTTGTCGCAGTCCGAAGTTTGTACCTGTCCGAATTTTGTACCAGTCCGACGTTTTTACTGTCCGACCTTTGTACCGTCCGACGTGTGTGGGTCCGACATTTGTACTAGTACCATAATTTCGAACAATAAAGTTTAGGTAATGTATTAGACATTAAGTTTATTTCTTGATTGAATTAATTAAATTAATTTCTTAATTATTCCAAATATTCTAAAATTTTCATCAGAAAACAATTATACAATATTTTCTAAATATTTTGTATAAGGGTGAGATATTTGGTGGCGGTCAAATAATGAACCTCGGACCTCTCGAAATAGGACGCAAAAGTGTAAAGGAGAAGGCACAGGACGCTAAACTACTAGCTGGACTAGGACCAAGACCAGGACGTATCGCTGAAGTCCTCTCTGGGAACCCAAAAACAAATCCCCGCTCCCTGTCCGCCTCTCATATCACGACGAAGGAGAGGAACGCAATTAAGACAATATCTTCCAATATATCCGAGGAGTTGGGGAATAGGTTACTCGTTCCTTCTCCAGGTACCAGAGCACTACTGGGATCTATTGTTAAGGTTAGTTTTGAAATATTATCTTTTGTCAAGGTAATTTCTATGAGACAAAGGAACTGAGTTCTTGCCACAAACTCTGATTTTCGAATTCCTATATCGTTGCAACCCATGATGTCGTAGATCTTTGATATTTCAAGACTTTTTTCTGCCAAGAATATCATCGGTGATACCATAATTTTTTATTCATTCATTTTATTATTTTATCGTCAAATATTTAATTATTAAACTCTTGAAAAGATATTTTCTGGTTCTGTAAATATATTTCATATTTAAAATATTTTCATCATTTTGATAAACTTGTACATTATTCGTTATACAATTCACAAATGTTAAATCCGGGATATCAAATGTTAAAATTTTAATTGTTTTTTTGTAACCTTTCCCGTTTGATTTTTGAAGCAATGAATTTTGTAACCTAATATTCTAAATATGTTAATTAGTAACATTTTGTGATATTTTCTTTGAAGTTAAGCTTATACACTTTAAAAATAATTTTTGGTAAAAATTGCAAGAAACTGTGTCAGTGACAGATTAAAAATTAGTTTGTTATCATTGGCCAGACTGATCCTTCTGATAGGTTGAAAAAAAGCCAATAAAGAGAACTCTATATGTAAACTGCTGGATTTTATAATTGAAAAGTTTATAGGAATGTGACCTTCCATTCTAAGATGGCAATGACCGATTCACCACGGTATCCTGGAAACCTTTATCTGATGTATTGTCGTTTTTCTAGGTTTAAAAGTTGTAATTCCAATAATTCCTTCATATTTTCCTGCATTAGAAATGCGTCAGTCAGTTCTGTAAAGAAACTACAAATGTCATAAGCAGGTTTCAAAATTGATTAAAAATAATTCATACTTGATCAGACAAAGCTTTTATGGGTACCGCTGTAAATCTGCCATTACCATTTATGCATGGAGGGTCACTTGAAATTATGCTTACAGTCTCTCTAAGCATAATTTTGAAGGAAGGACAGATGCTCCTTGTATCTTGAATTATAGGATCATTTTGAATTACAATTACAATCCCTAAGTCTCCTTCTGTAAAAAGGTTGACGAGGAAAAGGTTAAGAGCACTACGAATATCCCTGTAAAGTCTGCCAAGGATTTATTAAAGGAACACAGTTCTGCGCTTAGGTAAATTGAATTTTTAGAAGCTAATTACAATCATAATCGAAATATCTTCGAATTTGAAAGTTCTTTATTTTCTATCATAACTGAATGGCGTTTAACCCAAAAACAAAAAAAAATTTCAAGTAAATAGCCAGTAAAAAATAAAAAACCAGATTTTATTTGTTATCAAGCAAAAGAATGATGTATTTTAACATTAATCAAAAAATCTAACATTTCAAACACTATTTTGAAAATATGTTAAGATTTGTCATTTTCTCCTAATGATGAATGTAATTTTAACCCCAAACACAAAAAAGCCAGATTTTTAATTTTGAACTAAATGTCTTTGTTCAGGCGCGGAGAGTCTCCTATGTTAGGACGAGGGATGAAAGGTTCAGGAGATATTTGTATTGATCTCTCTCCGGGACAGAAATCAAAGTTCTCTGCCGGACGCTTCAGGTATACAGTATATATATGTACTTCTAGATTATATCAGGTATACACTACAGTACAAGTACTTCTTGATTAGAAATTTGATGTCTAGTTATACGTTACAGTTCATGTGCTTCTAGAAGGATTAGAGCTCCAGGTAAACACTACAGTAATGTAATTCTTATAACTTTATTATTATTATCAACAATCATTTTACAGACAAAGTACAACGACCTGTAGTTCTAGATTAGAATTAGAGCTCCACGTATACACTACAATACATGTACTTAGGGTAAGATTAGAGCTCCAGGGATACACTACAGTACATGTACTTTTAGAGTAAGTTTAGAGCTCCAGGTATACACTACAGTATATGTACTTCTAGAGTTTAGAGATCCAGGTTTACACTACAATACATGTACTTCTAGAGTAAGTTTAGAGATCCAGTTATACAGTTATACAGTAGATTGGGATTTGAGCTCCAGGTATACATAACGGTACATGTGCTTCTAGAGTAAATTTAGGGATCCAGGTTTACAGTACATGCACTTCTAGATTAGGATTAGAGCTCCAGGTATATATTACAGTACATGTGCCTCTAGATAAGGATTAAAGCTCTAGGTATACACTACAGTACACGGGCTTCTAGATTTGGATTAAAGCACCAGGTATACACTACAGTACATGTACTTCTAGATTAAGTTTAGAGCTCCAGGTATACATTACGGTACATGTGCCTCTAGAAAAGGATTAAAGCTCTAGGTTTACACTACAGTACATGTACTTCTAGAGTAAGTTTAGAGATCCAGTTATACACTACAGTACATGTACTTCTAGAGTAAGTTTAGAGATCCAGTTATACACTACAATACATGTACTTCTAGAGTAAGTTTAGAGATCCAGTTATACAGTTATACAGTACATTTGTCTCTAGATTGGGATTTGAGCTCCAGGTATACACAACGGTACATGTGCTTCTAGAGTAAGTTTAGGGATCTAGGTTTACACTACAGTACATGTGCTTCTAGAGTAAGTTCAGAGATCCAGGTTTACGCTACAGTACACGTGCTTCTAGATTAGGATAAGAGCTTCAGGTATACACTACAGTACATGTGCTTGTAGATTTTGATTAAAGCTCTAGGTATTTATTTCAGTACATGTGTTCTAGATTAGGATTAGAGCTTCAGGTATACACTACAGTACATGTGCTTTTAAATTGGGATGAAAGCTCTAGGAATACATTTCAGTACATGTGCTTCTAGATCTTGATTAGAGCTTCTGGTATACACTGCATTATACACTTCTAGATTAGAATTAGAGATCCAGGTATACAGTACAGTACATGTTCTTCTATCTTCAATTAGAATTAGAGCCTCAAGTATACACTACAGGAATATCCTTCTAGATTAGGATTAGAGTTCCAAGTATACACTACAGTATATGTACTTCAAGATTAGTATCAGAGTTCCAAGTATACACTACAGTATATGTACTTCAAGATTAGTATCAGAGTTCCAAGTATACACTACAGTATATGTACTTCAAGATTAGTATCAGAGTTC